TTTGAATTTAGTCAATGAGTGAAATAGCCTTATTAATTTTACATTAATAGGGTTAAATCCACAAATTACCACCGAACTTTATGTTTAGTGTCACCATGATCACCAAATTTGATTTTATTTCATTATATCCACCAAATTTTATATAACATTTCATGATGACCACCTTATTTTATATAATATTTCACTATGATCACTTAATTTCTTTTCACATTTTTCACTGATTTTAAAAGGGGGTAAATAGAACTTCGCATTGTATATATAAAATATATTTTAAAAATAAAATAAAATATTATTTTATTTAAAAAAAACGTTACTTAATAAATAAATAAAAATAAAAATTATTTTTAAAAAAAGGTTAGTTAAAAAATAAAATAAAATAAAAACTTATTTTTAAAATAAAAAAAACTTCTATTTTGGTTTTTTTTTTTTTTAAATTACGATTTAAAAACATGGAACATAAGTTGAAATTTACAAATACAATACATTCTAACATATCTCAGCCCCTAGAGTGACAATAGATGACCCATGTCTTTGTGTGCTAAATAACAAAGAACCACTTTACCTCAAAATAAGTTAAGTAGTCACATAAAAAAAAAAAAAAATGTTAAGTAGTCCACAAAATTTCAATCACCTTTTTATCCCATGGAAAGAAGTTAAAAGACCATTTGTACTTTTATGATCAAATCAACTCCCAAAATGGAAATAAAATAAGTGCTAGAGAGAAAATTGAGAGCAGATTTAGGAGTTAGATAAACATACATTTTGTGCCCATAAGACTTACCTTACTTTGACAAAATTGAGTTTTGAATAATGTTTTTTTCAATAATATGTAGTTAAAAAAATAGGAAAAAATTTTGAATTTACATGCAAAATATTTTATTTTATAAATTTAAAAATAAGCATGAAAATGAAAGAATTTTGAAATAGAGGAAATTACACTTACACCTGCTTTTAGATTACCAATTTCATAAATCTTGGATTAAATTTCATTTTTGCAAAATTTAGGTTTTAATTAATAATTTAAAAACATTATTTTTATTTTTATATCTATTTAAAATAAATTAATTTATATACACTCCTCCCCCATATCCTATCCATCCCCAAACCCTAAAAAGGATTAGCACATCCTCTCCACTCTGACACCGTCGCCGCCGCGCCGCTCCCCGCTACCGTCGGTTCATCTATCCTCCTCGCTACGGTCGGTTCATCTCTCTGTCGTCTGCTCTCCTCCCCGCCACCTTCTCCGTCGTCGGTTCTTCTCTCCGTTGTCTGCTCTCCTCCC